TTTTCTTACCGGGTGGAAGGGATATGTAACGATTGTTACATTATTGAAAATATATATTTTCCAAAGAGTTATTGATCTTGACACTATGATGATAAAAGGTATCTTAAAATCTAGTGCTGTAGATTTGAATCTAGTTATCTGTATTCCAATATTATTGATACTGCTAAATTACAGAGTTCTTCCCATATCTATATTCATTGACCCATTTTGATACTTGAACTATTTTCTTATCTTCTTTTTCGCGGCGAATAGTAAGAGATACAAATATTAATAAACTCAATTTTTGGAATCGCTGTCAATTGCTCAGGTGATTAGAAAAGGCATAAATAGGTTAGGGAGATAAGGATCGTGGCTTTTTGGTGTTTCGAGTCTTCAGGTAAGCAGAAGTGAATTTTTTATATCTTTGAACATCCATCAGACTTTTTAAGGTTTTCATAGTTTTTTGGTTTATTTGAATAAAGAAAGGTTTCTTTTGTATAGTCAGATAAATATTTTCGAAACTTATCTAGTTATTTTCTAGATGAATCAGATTTTCTGACATTTTCTTTTTCGAACAGTGTGTGACATTTTCATGTAAGGGAATTTTGGAAAATCAATTAGGAATGCACTCTAATTTAATCTTTTCATAGATTAAATATATATATCGAATTTTTCTAGTGTATTTTTATTTGAATTTCTAGAGAAAGTGTCACATTTCTTGTCACCTTTTTCTGTCTGTGAATTTGAGTTAATTGTTCATTTTAATTTTGCGAGGAAATTTAGCATAATTCCTAACTCTTCTATTCTAGAAACCTAATTGAATTTATTTGAGAATTGGCTAAAATTTTCTTATATAGATCGGCTCAAATTGGCAAACAAACCCTACAGGTTTTAAATTAGAAAATCTTGGACTGTCGTGGATGTAATTATCTTGATTTTTGCCTGAATAATTTACTTTTGCTGCCTGCTGCCTGAATACTTGAAAGGCCATACCTACCTACCTTTCCTGATCGATATATTTATCTTTGGTGATATTAAATATACCAGAATTATCTTTATTATATTTCTACAGATCACTTACCTTAATAAGTGTCTTATCTATTATCTCCTGAATCGTTGTTTAGATTCATATTATCTTAATTGTCTTGAATTTTAAAATATAATTTGAAGTTTGAATTCTGTCTTGTATAACAATGGTATATAATTATACCCATTGATAATTTGACTATTATAATTTTAGAGGTTACAGTTTAAACTTGAGAAATTGTATTTAGATACCTTTTAATTGATGAAGGTGATTTTGTAAAGTAATTTAACATTAATTATTATTAATATTGGTAATTGCTTTTCTCGTTCATTTAACCTTAGTTCTTATATTTCTGGTCTAATATTATTCTTTATATTTCATGTATCATCCATAAAATTTGGCTGAAGAAATCGTGCTGACTAGGCAAGTGTCAGACGAGTGTTCCACGACTGGATCCTTAGTTGAGTCAGTGAAGTCCTCCAACGTCAGAAAACCAATAGTCGACTCGTTTGTGTCTACCAGTCTAACTACTTATAGAACTAGTGTTGGCCACACATTTCACCAGAACATATTGGAGCACAAATTGAGAGACCTTCTACAAATTGGTGAATGAGGTGAAGAGCTCTAAAGGATCCAGCTACCACCAACTTTTCTGTGGACATAAGATAAGTGCCAAAATTCGATTTTGTAAAGACCAGAATATTTGTAACTTCAGGCATTGTTACGAGTAATTAAGTCAGACAATAATAATCGTTTGATTTTATTGTTTTAATAATTTAATTATTATTTTTTTTTACTTATTATAGATTTTGTAATTATTTGATTTACAAGTTTCTTTATAATTAGATTTATATTGTTTATGGTGTTTTATTTCTTGCAAAATTCTAATGAAGCTGGCAATGAACCTACAACCCCTGGGTTTGAGTTTCAATACTATATTCAGATAACTGCTCCGGCCAGCAAAAAAATATATATATAGTTGCTGTGTCGACACTTCGTATTCGCAGTATCGTTCATAAATTTTTGATTTATGGTCATTCTCAGAACGAAGGAGACAATGTTCATAGCGTCATCGAAAAACAAATAAAAAGGCATCTTAAATCTAATCCTTTATACGTTCCCGAGCAATATGCAACTCTAATTAGAACAGCAAAAAAGTTGGTATTCCATATCGCGTCCACGACATGACTTATGAAGACTTCTACGATTTGAAAACTTTGCAAGAAGAATACGGGAGCAACTTTTCGATAAATACCGAAAACGAAAAGGTTAAATGACACGATAAAAAAATGCTCAGAGTGGAAAGCAAAGCCCAAAAAGATTTTTTTACAAAAACTCTTATGAGGATGCAACATTAAAAATGGTTAACATTTCTAGAGGAACAAATACCAGAGGCAAAGAAAACTGCGAACGCAAAGTGCGTGTGGTCACAGCCTATGCTAACAGAATTCCACTAAGTGACAATAAAAAAAGAGATCTTGAAGAACTTGCCGAAAAGAATATAATTCCTAAATTTCACTATAACACGTATTTTAAAAATGTTTTATGGCCACTTGCACCGTTAGTATAACAGTAGTTTAAAATGTAACTATTAGTTATTTCTGAATTTTGGCTTGCACCGCAATTTAAGCCATGGTTAAACTCGTCTAAGCCACTGTTGAACTAAGCCACCGATTTTGGAGGCTTAAATCGGTATAAACCACAGTTAGTACGAATTCTAACCTAAAAAAAACACAAAACAGTGTATGTAACCTCAAAAGTCAAAAGATTACTCTGTGCGTATTCCGACAAAAATTAATTAGTTTCTAAAAAATGGATTTTTGGGAAGACGACATATTCCTAGAGGATGATATGGATATATTAGATATAGTTGATATGGGTTTTCCACGAAGGGTATAAGATAGAGCCGGCCACTTCCACAACATTGGTAATCTCACCTTTTTCAAGAGATTTCGTCTCTTGAAACCAACCGTAATTGGCATATTAGAGCGAATTGAGGAGGACCTGGAGTTTCCTCATGATTTGTAAGTGCACTAAACCGAAACAATCATTTTACAAAAGTATTGGTCAGGTTAAGTAGGTAGGTATGTGAAGTGTAAAACGGTGTTTCAGGAACCACAGTGTGTCTCCAATCAATCAGCTACTAACGACTTTGCGATTTTATGCTAGTTCTGGACATCTATCGGCTGTTGGCGACTTTATGGGCATGCACGAATCAACAGCAAGTAGGATAGTAGCCAAAGTCTCATCAGTTTTGGCAAGACTCTACCCTGAGTTTGTGAAGGAACCGAGAGCAGAAGAGTTTCTCAGAATCCACACAGAGTTCTACAACATCGCAAGATTTCCCAGAGTGTTAGGGATAGTGGATTGTACCCACATCCGAATAAATTCACCAGGTAATTATTACAGTGTTTATAAGCCTTCAAATATCTATATGATAATACTTCCCTTTCCTGCCATTTTTTAAAACTTATTATCATAATTGATCTATCAATAACATTTATAACCCGAAGGGCTGTTTGAAATCTTTGAATATGTTCTTCATTTGGCAAATATAGAGGCACTTAGCTGAAAATGTTACATAAAACATCCTATTAAAAAAGTTTTTTAGTGCTTTTATGATCACTCTACAATTGCTTCAATCTGATTTTTAGGTGGCGATGACGCAGAGGTTTTTCGCAATAGAAAAGGGTATTTTTCTATAAGCACACAAGCTGTGACTAATGCTGATCTAAAGTTTTTAAATGTAGTAGCTAGATGGCCAGGATCAAGCCACGATAATACAATCTTCCTCAACAGTAGAATAAGACAAAAATTTGAAACAAACCATTTTCCCAATTCCATTTTGTTAGGAAAGCACCTAGAGGGCTGGTTTCTCAATAGCAAGTCACCCCTGGGTTAAGCATAACTCCAGGGTAAACATAGCAACTGGACACGCTTACCCTAAAGTCAAAACCAACCCGGAGGTGACTAGCTATTGAGAAACTAACCCAGTGTTTTAATTTGTAAAGTTGCAACAGAACAGTAATAAATTGACGTCAGCGGCCACATATTTTAATAGTAGGTACCACACTATTACAATTTCTGCTACACCAACATGTTTGCCAAACTGTGCAATTGTAATATACTTACCTACAACATTTTTTAGGAGATCGTGGTTACGCCCAGAGGAATTATCTGTTAACGCCATTGGCTAATCCTGTTAACCGCGGCCAAGTATTATACAATGAATCTTTAATAAGGACAAGAAACTCTGTAGAAAGAGTTTTTGGGATATGGAAAAGACGATTTCCAGTCTTAGCTTATAGGCTAAGACTAAAACTGGATACAGTTTTATCCATTATTCCTGCTGCCGCAGTCCTGCACAACATTGAAAGACAGATGCATGAGCCAGAGCCGCCGATACCAGCTGATATTAATCAGGCTGAGCTTGAATACTTGATAGAAGAAGGCCAAATTCCTGAAGTTCCTGTTGCCCAAGAGCCTTTGAATTTTCAAAACCAACTCATTCAAGCATATTTTGCAAATTTATAATTATTTGTTTTTATGGAACTCGAGAAATATAAATCTACCCATCAAAATATTTATGTGAAAATGTTGATAAAAAATATTTATCAATTATGAGAAATAAAACTGTCTTCTTGAAAAACTTGCTTTGCTTTATATCAAAAAAATAAAAGCTTCTTGTAATAAACAACAATCATAACATCTTGCTAAGTACTAAATGCAACTAAAAACATAAATCACAACATAGGTAGTAAGTTTTATTAAAAACCACTAAGGAACTAAATCATCAATCAGCAACTCTAAAAACAAACTGAAAACTTTTCCCAATCAAGAGGGATAGAATTATTTATATTAACTGATACTACTCATAATAAGGATGCACCATCAATGTTCAATGGCACAATTTCATTTTGCGATGCTTTTAAAAAAAGACTTGACAGGATTATAATAAAATCGTGAAGCAAAGGAGCAAAGAAATTATGAATAATTAATAATCAGGTCGTTTAAGCTTATTCAACCTTTCCTTTTCTACTAAAACTTGCAGATCCAGCAGTTCCATATCTTTCTTATGTTTATCCTTCGAATGATCTAATTCTTGAGCTAGCCGTTTTTTAGTGAAGTCAGCAATCTCCAGACGCATATCCATCAACTGATTGTACTTCTCAGATACCTCAGAAGAGGTTAGTGCTCTCACCTGTACGATGATTGGAAGAAGGAGTACTTCGATTGAGCCGATTTTTGTTGGGAGTTACTTGTTCATGTGTTTCTTTGCCAGTACTTCCTTCCTGTTCCTTTTTTCTACTGGGAATATCTGAAAAAGGTTCATATTTTATTTATTGGTATACTCCCAGATAACACAATGTGCGTCAATGTGCTCGAAAAGTTTCGGCCGACTTTAGAGAAAATAGTATTTCAATGGTAATGCTTTGGAAATATGTTAAAAGTGCGTATAATAAAACAAACCAAATCAAAGTAAGCTAGCAACATCGAAGAAATGCTCCTATTTCAACTTTTAAATTGAAAGATCTGTAATGTGCAGGAAAACCACTGCAAAACCGCATAATTTTAGTGTGCGAATTAGCGGTACGCTAACAGCACTCCCTGAACACTTACCAAGGTACCGAAAGAGTAGAGTCTGCTCTGAGTGCTCTACCTGCGCTGCCTGAGAGCCTGCAGTCGGCAGTGATTAATTATAGGTTTAGAGATACTCCGATCGTGCAGGTGGTGCACCACAGAGCTGCAACCCCCACCACACATATCAAATGTGGGTAGGAAAGGGATAAAAAAGCGACAAGAAGGCAAGCAGAAGCAAGGAAGCCTGAGCCGAAACTGCCGGCTGCCGCCATTGCGCCATTTTTAATGTTTGCATTTTTAATGTTTGCATTTTTAATGTTTGCATTTTTAATGTTTGCATTTTTGGGCATTTAGTTTCGTACGTGTTTGGGTTCTGTGCGTGTTTTCGGTTTCACTGGAAGAATAATGAGTTCCAAAGGGTAAGTGAGTGATAATTATCAAATATTAGTTATGGGTTAATCCAAACTATTTCGTTCTGCGCTGTATGTGGTGCTTGTAGGTGGTAATGCATGCGTGGTGGGTGTGTTTGTGTTTTCACTGTTTATTTAACGAAATTCTGCAAAATCGTTTCAATTTTTTAAGGGCCCATTCGACAAGATATTATTGCAAAAGTTCATTAATAAGTCTTTAATTGCGCATCTTATTTTCTCATTTGAGCCACGTAGGTACCCCCTGTACTTTAATAGTTTCCAAAAACCCCATTAAACTCATTTCATTTGGTTCCCTCTGTGTCTCATCTGTATAAGAGATTTTAATTTAAGTATGATTTCTTTTTCAGGTAGGTACCAGGAATAGCGAAGAAGAATTATTTAGACTGTGCTTTCCTGGGATAAGAGCACAATCTCGAGCACAATGCTATATTGAGATATCTTAACAGAACCCCTAAAAAAACCAAGAAAACGAAACTTCAAGGCATATTGGATACAACTTACCGAGAGGTCTTCTTCTATAACATCCTCATCCATGCTTTCTCTATCTTGGGCATACTCATACACAATTTCAATGTCATTACGGGGCTGTTCAGATGGCTCTGCCTCATCACCACTCGAAACATCGCCACCATAGGGTGTTTCTAACCCAAAAACTGTTTTTTTATTAATTATCGATAAAAGAACATCATCAAATGCTTCATCCGGTCTAGGTGGTGGTAAGCCTCCACCAGTTTTTTACTGTTCCAGTTTGGCATCAGCAGCCTTCTTTCTCAATTCTTTTTTTTTTATTTCCATACAGCCTTTTGATACTTTCTTTGGATCTATACACACCTGCCGTGGACGAAGCATTAAACTCAGCTGTGATTCAATCCCAGGCAGCATTCTTCTCAGTATTTGTATTTTTATCTGTTTCTTTGTTTTCAATAATGCTTTTGTATTTGGATATTATATCAATGAGATGTGATTTTTCATTTTGTAAAAAATTTGACGTTCTCACCCGTTTCGCACTTGTGGAGGTTGAATCCATTTTTACTTATGAGCACTTTTTTTCGTTAAACTGCAGCAAAAACCGCAAAAAAATCACAAAAACAGAAAAAAAAAAAAACCGGCGACCGGCAAAAAAATTATGTACGAAAATAATTCCTCTAACCTCAAAATAAATCTGACTGAAGTTAGGTGTTAGTACCAACCGATTTTAATTTGACAAAAATTCCCCAAATTGATAAGTTTATTTTAACCAAGTACCCTTAAATTACCGTACAAGTGATTGCAATTTAATCAATTGTTTAAATTTTAACAATGTGTTATTTTAAACAGTGAGTTAGCGAATACGGTGCAAGTGGGCATTAGAGAACTAATAATTCATTGATAAAAATTTTTAAATTTATTTTTTTAACGAATTTTTCTGCAGAAGTGATTTTTTTTTTGTGTGCATTTAATTTGAGTTAACATGAATATTTTTTTATTAGCAGTTGATTTTTATTTTTCCCAGTCAAAAATAAATGAAAACGTCATTTCTCAAAAAGCTTGACACTATGAAAAAAATATAAAAAATCAAAAGTGTTAAGGAAGATGGTTGACCAAAAATGCGAACCTAATCTGTCTTCTTATAATAAATAATTTTAGTTTCCAGCCTAAAAACAATTAGAACAATTTTTTGCGTTTTTTATAAAGTAGGTTTTTTGAGTTGTGTCACTGTTGTAGCAAGAGTGCGATATGTTAAATGAAAAATTATATTCAAGTGAAAACATGAAAGAGCTGATTTCACTTGTCTTGGACATTATCCACACTGAAGGTAATGACAAGGAAACGTTTTAAAAAACTTGCGCCTTACCTCACATTGGTCCCAATCCTTGGACTAGTCCAACCGATATACTTGCTGAATCAATTCGAAGATTTAATGATGATGGATTCAGAGAGTTTATTCAAATAATACTTGCTAACTGCACTGAGAAATCTAAGATAAGTATTCTGTCGAATTATTCAATCAATACCACAACTTACAAATAATATTATCCAAAAGGCAAAATTCGAGTGAAAACATGGAAGAGCTGAGTTCACTTATCTCGGACATTATCCAAACTGGACTTATGATAAAGAAACGTTTTTGAAAACTTGCGTCTTACCTCACATTGGTCCCAATCCTTGGACTATTCCAACCGTTATACCTGCTGAATCAATTCGAAGATTGAATGTTAATGGATTCAGAGAGTTTATTCAAACAATACTTGCTAACTGCACTGAGAAATCTAAGATAAGTATTCTGTCGAATTATTCGATACCACAACCTACAAATAATATTTTCCAAAGGGCAACATTCAAGTGAAAACATGGAAAAGCTGAGTTCACTTATCTCGGACATTATCCAAACTGGAGGTTAAGACAAAGAAACTTTTTCAAAAACTTGCGTTTTACCTCACATTGGTCCCAATCCTTGGACTAGTCCAACCGATATACCTGCTAAATCAATTCGAAGATTAAATGATGATGGATTCATAGAGTTTATTCAAGCAATGCAAAATGAGACCATAAACGCTATTTCCGAAATGTTTTCAAATTCTAATCAACAACGTATCGTATAACGAACTTGTTTTGAATAGTTACTGACCATTTGATAGCTGAATTGCCGAAAGATATTATTTTGAACTTGTTGACCACTGCGCTAAAGAATATTCACGGTTTGGATAATACCTAGGATTTAAAAAAAAAAAAAAACATTAGATGTCCGTTCAGCTCTTTCGTAATATCTAGGTATTATCCAAACCCTGAATATTCTTTACCGCAGTGGTAAACAAATTTAAAATAATATTTTACTACTCATAATTTCAGTCTCAGTTGACGTACGGTTTAGCTGGATGGGATGTCATCAGAGACTGCTACTTAACAGAGATTGAGGTATTGTAAAAATGGGCATAAAAAATTATTTTTGATAAGAAGAGAAGGTATCCCACAAACTTGCTAAATAAAGATGCAAATGTACTCGACATTAGGCAATTATACTTTTTTAAAATAATAGTTTTTATAAATAAGAAAAAAATTAAACTTGATGATATCGCTCACTGTCACAACACTGGACATAAAAATGATCACGTGAACATCTCAAAAACAAGGAAAGAAATCTCCCATAGAAATTTTGAATATTTGGCTCCTAAATTCTTTAACTTTTTACCAAATAACTTGAAAGTACTTATACATGAGAAAGTATTTCAAAAGAGATTTAAACAATGGATATATACTATAGAAAGAACAGAAATATTAAACTTGTTTAAAAACTAAATAGTAATAATATTAAGGATATGTAAATGAGTAATCTGTTGTGTGTAACATATATAAGAATTGTGTCGTTTCTTCTCGATTGCGAAAACCTAGACTTGAATGTGACTTTAAAACCGATGGTGACCTGGCACTAACAAGCTTTGCTTCTGTGCGTAATTGTTTATTTATTTGTACATTTATACTATCTTGTTGAATTTCTTATTTTTATTATTATTATTTTGATAAATAAACTATTATTTATTTATTTTGTTAAGTATTTATTTAATGGAAATTGATTTTGATTTTGAATTTGCCTTGGAAATGCTGAAAAAAATTGAAGGAAATTACTTTTCCAAAATGATACACTCCATTTGTAATGTTTGATTGATCCTGAAGGAAGGACTTTCAGCATTGTCTGTGTGTGTGTGTGATGTATTTTTTTTTGCTTTGTGTTATTTCAAGTGATATAAGGCAACATTTTGACAAGAGGATAGTTGTTAATTTTATTTTAAATCGTTAATATTTTGTTTAATTTCTAATTCACATTTCAATTTATTTATTTTTATTTTGAGGTAATTCCATAGGCGACCTGTTGCCGCGCAAAAATAGCGTTATTGTATAATCTATTCGCAATCCGAAGTCCGAGCTAAAAGTAAAATTTAAACATTTTTATATGTCTTTGGGAGGTTATGATGACAAACTGAAAAATAGCAGAGCAGGACTGAAGCATATTTTTATACTTTGAATAAGGAACTTTTAATACTGTTGAAACAATATTCTTACTTTTACTTGGTAAGGCAATATAAATATACAGGGTGGGGACTTTAACTGGAACTAATTCGCTAGAGCCTTCGGATAAAATATGCGGACAAAACGCAAAAACACGTCGATTAAGATTTTTTGCTTAAGATTTTTTTTACATAATTTTTTTTATACAGGCTGTTCCTAGAACAGCTGTATGGTTATCAACTTTATTTTTTTAAATGGTAGCCCCTGTATATTATGACATTTCTGGATTCTCTGGAAAATTCTAGACATATTTCATGTACAATGTCATATACCTATCTCCAACTGTTTCGGAAATATTGACAGTTAAAAATTGACCTTTTTGCATCTTTGACAGCCTGTAAAACTTGAACGGTTAATTTTACAGCAAAACGGATCATACATTCTTATCTTAGTTTTTCATAAACTAGCATTTGACACCAACTTTGAATTTAATCCATGATTAAAAATTCCGCTCGAATTATTAATCTCAGGTTAAATTCAAAGTTGGTGTCAAATGATAGCTTATGAAAATCTACGATAAGAATGTAAAATCGGTTTTGCTGTAAAATCAACCGTTTAGGTTTTACAGTCTGTCAAAGATGCAAAAAGGTCAATTTTCAACTGTCAATATTTCCGAAACAGTTGCAGATAGGTATATGACATTGTACATGAAATATGTCTAGAATTTTCCACAGAATCCGGAAATATCATAATATATAGGGGCTGCCATTTAAAAAAATTAAGTTGAGAACCATACAGCTGTTCTTGGAAAACCCTGTATAAAAAAATTAATGTGAAAAAATCTTGAGCAAAAAATCTTAATCGACGTGTTTTTGCGTTTTGTCGACATATTTTATCCGAAGGCTCTAGCGAATTAGTTCCAGTTAAAGTCCCCATCCTGTATGTACAGTGAGTATCAGCCAAATGGAATAAATTCGATAATAAATAAATGGGAAACTTTTCGAAAAAACGCTCGAACACGTTAATTTTGTTTTTTTGCTTGAGATTTTTTCACACCAATTTTTTTATACAGGGTGTTCCGAAAACAGCTGTACCGTTATAATTTTTAGTTTTTTTAATGGTACTCCCTGTATATTATGACATTTCTGGATTCTGCGGAAAATTTTGGACATATTTCATGTACAATGTCCTATACCTATCTACAACTGTTTCGGAAATATTGACAGTTGAAAAATGACTTTTTTGCATCTTTGACAGACTGTAAAAGCTAAACGGTTGATTTTACAGCGAAACCGTTTTCACATTCCTATCTTAGATTTTCATAAGCTATCATTTGACAGCAACTTTGAATTTAACCGGAGATTAATATTTTAAGCGAAATTTCTAATTATGGATTAAATTCAAAGTTGGTGTCAAATGATAGTTTATGAAAAACTAAGCTAAGAATGTATGATCGGTTTTGCCGTTCAGGTTTTACAGTCTGTCCAAGATGCAAAAAAGTCAATTTTCAACTGTCAATATTTCCGAAACAGTTGAAGATAGGTATATGACATTGTACATGAAATATGTCTAAAATTTTTCGCAGAATCCAGAAATGTCATAATATACAGGGGGTACCATTAAAAAAATTAAAGTTGATAACGGTACAGCTGTTTTC